ATAATATCGAAATTAAGATTCTAGAGCTGTTAGAAGCATTTCTAATATAATAAGAAAAAATTGATATTGATTTTAATATTCTGTGGCTCATATACACAATGTTTCAGTGGGAGATGGATCTTTGATCTTTAAACTTTCACTTTCACATTGTGTGCTTCTCTTGCTAATGGAGCAGAAGCAACAACTTGAACTTGAATAGCATTTGTAAGATTGACTAGTCCATTTATCATTTGGTTGAATTGTTAATCATTCATAATTAATTCTGGTTGTTCTTCTTCACTATTTTCTTTGATTATTTGAATTATTTGATCTTCTGGATCTTCTTTAATAATTTGTACTGGTGGATCATTTTGGATTATAATTTGATTTTCTGAATTTTGGAGTTCAATTATTTGTTTTCAAAGTCTTTGTTGTTGACAATATTGTTTTCATTATATTGTGAAGATTTAAATATCTTGTTGTAAATTGTACAAGTAGATTTTAATTTCTTGTTCTTTTTGTAATGAATAATGTAGTAGTAGTTCTTCAAGTTATTTAATTAGTTTACTAATTGAATTTTCTAGATGTGTTGTAGCAAATACTTCTGCTAATCGAATTTTAATTTCTTTCAATTGTTGCTTGTTTAGATTTTCTGGTAAATCTATTTCATTTTTTAATTCTTCAAATAACTGATCAATTTTTATATCAGTTAATTATGTTAAATTCAGTTTAATTGTTTGAGTGATTCATCTATAAAGAATTCATTTATTAATTAATTTATTGTATTTAATATCTTTAAAACTTTCCTTTCCACAGAGGAAGCACCAAAAATTTGTTACTGTTTTAATATGACTTTAGGTTCTGTTATAAGAGTACATGTGATAGAATCAGGTGAAAGAATTAACGTATTAAATAACTTTAAGTTTGTAGAATTTACTAAGTTATCTAAAGATAGGTAATGTATGTTCATTTTGTTGATCAGCTAGAATAAGACCAGAAAGATTCAAAGATAATTGTGTCTTTTATAATTCAATTTATAATAAATCAAGCATTCTTTTAAATTTAGTTTATAAACAAGTAAGATGTAATTTTCTTTTATTAATTCAATATTATTATTAACTTCACAATATAAACAAGAGATCAAATATAAGAATATATAAGATAATATAACTTTACAATAGTAATAAGAGGTTATAAAACAAATACAAAAATAACTTCATAATTAAAATGAGAAATTATAAAAATACTATCTAAAGGATTATTTTAAAAGAATAAAAACTAAAACTTGAATTGAATTAATTATTTTTCTAAGCTAAGATACAAGTTATATTTATAAGTATTTGATAATTATAAAATGATCATTTGGAATGATCATTCAGAGTATTAAAATGATCATTTGAAATAATTATTTGCAATAATCATTCAGAATATTTGAGATAATCATTTGAAATGATTATTTGCAATGATCATTCAGAGTGCTTGAGATAATCATTTGGAATGATCATTTTAAATAATCATTTGAAGTGATCATATAAAGTGATCATGTAAAATTATCATTTGTGATTATAAAAAATATTTAATCACAATAGTATTATATTTATTATTTTATTAATTCTTTATATTATTATAAATCTTGTAGATCTATATTACTTTAATATATATCTAAATAAATATAATTTAATATAGAAAATCAGATATCTTATAATTTTATTTTTGATTTTGATAATAATAAAGAATAAATCAGATTGTTAATTATTCTAATTAATTAGTTCTTATTAATCTCTCTTGTTATAATAATTTATTATGTATTGAATTATTATTAATACTGTTACCATTTCCATTGGTTTATTAACTTTCAAGTATAAATCATGTGTTCTTTATGTGTTTCAATTAAGTGGGAGAGTTATTAAAGATTTTTATGTATTTAAAGTAATTAAAGTTGGGAGAGACTAATTTAATAAAGGTAGGTAACGATGTGTTCATTTTGTTGAACTGCTAGAATGAGTTCAGAAATCTTCTTTTAATTCAATTGGTTTAATTGTTAACTTTTATTAAAATTATTTTCTTCTTTTATTATAAATCTAAATAATATTAATCAACTTCGCAGAGTAGTGATGAGAGATTAATTATATTATTATAGATAACGTCGCTTGTTATAGACGAGAGATCTTTAAATAATAAAAAATACAAATAAAAAAGTAAAAGAGTAATTAATGCTTGACTGAAAATCTCCAACTCAAGACTTATAATACAACTCACTTCTAAGAAGATTTTGTCAAAGGAAATTAAAAGATAAGAAGATAAAAGATTCTAATCAAGAAGATTATTATCCAAAAGATTAAATAAAAATGTGAGAAGATTATTTTTCTAAGCTAAGATACATATTGTATTTATACAAATTATTGTTACTTGATCTTCAAATATTAAAGCTATTTTTGATTAATATTAAGGTTACAAAAAGTGTTCGCTCAATGGTTGCGCATCACTTGCTCGCTTGATGGTTGTACATCGCTCGCTCTAATATTATATAAATTTCACTATTAATATTAATCAAATTTGGTTATGTAGGTCGATTAACACGTGCTTTTCATACAAATAATAATAATATGAATTAAATATGATTAGTACAAATTATAAATAATATAGAATGAGGTAATATAAAAATAGAATAAAATAGAATGAAATAATATAAATATAGAATGAAATAATATGAATATAGAATGAAATAGTATGAAAATAGAATGAAATAGTATGAAATAAAATGATAATAGTATGAAATAAAATAGAAATAGAATGAAATGTTATAAAAATAGTATGAAATAAATATGGATATGATTTATAAATCAATTATCCAATGAAAATTAACTATAAAAAAAATCATGTGATATGCTAAAATTCATATCACAACAATATGTCAGAATTGCCAGAAGCAGTCACTTCGTAGCTAGACGTGTTAGACTCCTCATTACATGAGATTATCTGTTTAGAAGTATTGTTAGAATTTGTTTCATAATCTAACGAGTTGGTATTAGTATCGATGCACTGGTTTTGTTCCAATTTTACTACTCTGTTTCTAAGCTCTTTGTTTTCTTTTGCTGATCGTTCTAATTCAAATATTCTGGTATTAAGTTTAGCGTCTCTTAACTTTGTATTTTCAGCATCTTCTTTTATAGTTTGTTCTAATTCTACAATCCTAGCTAAGAGCTCGGTATTTTTACTTATAAGTGAATCTTTCTCTCTCCTAAGCTTATCAATTTCGGTTACGAGCCTGGAATTCAATTCTCTCAATAAGGAGTCAGAGACTTGAGTTGGAAACTCATCGTCTTTAGATTGTATGTTTAATATCAATCTATATAATTTTGTCAAAAATGTTCGGAAGAATATTGTATACGTCTTGAAATATTTTTATTGATTTATGCCTTTAATTTCAAATAAAAAATCACGTGCACGTGAAGATTCTTCACACTGATCACTTTGCCAAGAAAAAATAAACACAATTGATATATTTGCAAAAATCTTTATTTAACCCGTGATGATCAGACTCTCTTTGAGGTATCAGACGACTACCCAATCAATTGATAAGGGCGGAGCCCATTGCGGAGCAATAATGTGTTATTCTATATCGGGATAACCGTTACATAATCTATTTCAGGACCTATTTCGGGTGTATTATGACTCTTCGAGTCACCCCTACGGGCCTGCGGAGCAATGAGATTTCACCTCTACAAGTATATGATTTAATTTTCCGGTAATAGATGTACTATACCCATTACACAAGATATCAACCATAGTAAACAGCGTAAATTTTTTATTAATGAAGATTTTGATATCGATATCATTATGCATAAATCGTGATATGATATCACAACGTCACGTGACCTTTTTTCTCGTTCGAAAAAAGATATATAGCTAACTGCTATCTACTATATATTTGAGAAGCTAACTAAAATATCTGACTTCGGGCATATGATGCGAGAAGGCGGGCTGAATATTACGAAAGTGAAAGTTGGACTAAAACATAATCTATATCATTCTGGGAAATACTTGATAAGGTTACTGCTGTAAAGCTCTGAATCCGCTTGATCTTATCGACTCCAATTTCATTAAATAAATCATAAATCTTTTGGGCCCGCTCTTTCATTTTTCGAAGCAAGCTCGGGCTAACTGATGGAAGTTGAATTCTAACCTCATTATTAACTAACCCTTGAGCCGTACGTTTAGGATTGTTTTTTTTGTAGTGATTGGATCGTTCCTCGAGTGCTTTCCCAAAATAGAAATAGTGAAGAATGACTTCTTGTATCGTTTGTTTACTAATTTCTTCGATATTGATTATATTTTGGTACAAAGCTAGAAAATCGATTGGGTTCTCATTCGATTTAGATGTTGGTTTAGTCGGTAAAATTTTCACTGGAACGTTAATTCCCAATTCTTTGATTAGTCTTTGCAACGTGGATGAATTTTCCTTTGAAACTGGCTTCTTCAATTTCTTACTGTATAGTTTACCGGTGGGTTCACCAACACGTTTTTTAGACGGACTTGGAAATAATAAGGAGTCGCTAAATAATGTCAGAGATACATCCATCAAATCGCTGGTATTCTGACTCCCAGGCGTACCATCAACCGTAGATGAGACATAGTCTCGAGGCTTTGCCTCTACCTCTTTCTTGCAATCAGGTCTTGGACATATTGAACGTGTTTTGATGGACTTTTCGATGCAATCGCGATGATATATGTGTCCACAGACGAGGATGGTAATCGGGTTTTTTATTTCATACAAAAAAAGTTCTTGGTTGCATAACAAGCATGGGTCTAGCTCTGAAACATT